AACCCTTCTTAGAGGGGGGTCTAATATATAGGAAATATCTACACACAATGTTCTGCATATTAGGGCTGGGCACGGTGGCTGATGCCAGTAATCTCAGCACTTTGGGAGGCTGAGGCAGGCAGATCACCTGAGGTCAGGAGTTCAAGACCAGCCTGGCCAACATGGTGAGACCCCATCTCTACTAAAAACACAAAAATTAGCTGGGTATGGTGGTGGTTGCCTGTAATCCCAGCTACTTGGGAGGCTGAAGCAGGAGAATCTCTTGAACCCAGGAGGCAGAGGTTCCAGTGAGCCGAGATCACACCACTGCACTCCAGCCTGGGTGACAGAGCAAGACTCCATCTCAAAAAAAAAAAAGAGAATATTCTGCATATTAGTATCACTTGCACAACTTCAAAAGCGTTTTAAATGAACACATCTTTATGCTATGCCATGATCAGCAATCAAATACATTAAAACATCGTTTAAACATATAAACGACTATATACAAGAAACTTGTTATACTTAAGGGCATTTATTATCAAACACTGAAAAAAAAAAGTAACATCTCCAATCAATGGTAACAGCTATCCCTGAGGACAGACTATTTCAGGAACATATATGTAATCACTTTTCATCCTAACATTCATCTGGCAAAGCAGGTTGGTTGATTTGTTTTTCGAGCCAGGATCTCTCTCTATAACCCAGGCTGGAGTGCAGTGGCACCATCATGGCTCACTTCACAGTGACCTTCAGCCTCCCAGGATCAAGTGATCCTCACACCTTGGCCTCCCAAGAAGTTAGAACTAAAGGCATGCACCACCATGCTCCATTAATTTTTGTATTTTTTTTTAGAGACAGGGTTTTGCCCTGTTGCCCAGGCTGGTCTGAAACTCCTGAGCTCAAGAGATCTGCCAGGTGTCAGCCTCCCAAAGTGCTGGGATTACAGGTGTGAGCCAACCCCTAAGCAGGTGTAAAAATCCCTATTTAACATAAGAAATTGAGGCACCATGAACATAAGGCCGTGAGACAGACAGCTGGAAGCACACCCCCCACCCCCCCCCATCCCTTAGATTTGAGCTCAGTACACCAAACCAAGGGGGCAGGGAGGGCTAACTTAATGTTAGCTGGTAGGCTGGTATAAGTTTGCAGAATTTTCATTGATTTTTGAGATAATGGGGAAAAGTAAGGACACAAAATAAACTTTTTTTTTTTTTTTTGAGATGGAGTTTCACTCTTGTAACTCAGCTGGAGTGCAATGGCACCATCTCTGCTTACTGTAACCTTTGCCTCCTGGGTTCAAGTGATTCTCCTGCCTCTGCCTTTGGAGTGGCTGAGATTACAATGTGCACATCACCATGCCCAGCTAATTTTATATTTTTAGTAGAGACAGGTTTCACCATGTTAGCCAGGCTGGTCTGAAAAACTTTTCAATATAACTAAATAATTCCATTTAAAGATCTTTTATTCTGTCTGGGTGCAGTGGCTCATGCTTGTAATCCTAGCTCTTTGGGAGGCTGAGGCGGGCAGATCACGAAGTCAGGAGATCAAGACCATCCTGGCCAACACGGTCTCTACTACAAATACAAAAATTAGCTGGGCATGGTGGCACACACCTGTAGCCCCAACTACTCAGGATGCTAAGGCAGGAGAGTCACTGGATCCAAGGAGGCAGAGGTTGCAGTGAGCCACAATCGATCACCCCACTGCATTCCAGCCTGGCAAAAGAGCAAGACTCCATCTCAAAAAATAAAAAATAAAATGTATTGTGAGAGATTCTGTTCTTTCCAATTGTTTGAGTGAAAATATCCTTTTGTTAAATGAAATGACGGTGACAGGAGACAGTGGTGTGATATTTGTTTTTATTGGCTGTACCTGGTAGAAATAAAAATTCAGGCCAGGCATGGTGGCTCACGAGGTCGAGATCGAGACCATCCTGGCCAACATGGTGAAACCCTGTCTCTACTAAAAATACAAACGTTAGCTGGGCATGGTGGCATGTACCTGTAATCCCAGCTACTCAGGAAGCTGACACAGGAGAATCACTTGAACCCAGGAGGCAGGGCCTGCAGTGAGCTGAGATCATACCACTGCACTCCAGCCCGGCAACAGAGCAAGACTCCATCTCAAAAAAAAAAAAAAAAAAAAAAAATCAGCATTTCTATTGCAGCCTCCTTATTTTGGGGAAATATTTCTTTAGAAATCTAAAAGTCTGGTCCTTTACATCATTATGGCACCAAAATAATAGGGGACTTTACATACAGATAACACATGCCCTTCAAGATGTGAAGGCATCTCTCTTTAACCTCTACCTTATTCTGTTTGGATTAGGACATTTGGGGATTGTGCAATGAGAATCAAGTTGAGTATAAGCAATCCAAAACCATGTGCTGACACTGGATCCTGGAAGAGGACTTTCTTCAGAATCTTTTTCATCTGTTAACTTTTCTCTGGACTCAAACTCTCTTTTCTTTTTTTTTTTTTTTTGAGACAGAGTTTCGTTCTTACTGACCAGGCTGGAGTACAGTGGTGCGATCTCGGTTCACCGCAACCTCCGTCTCCCAGGTTCAAGCAATTCTCCTGCCTCAGCCTTCCGAGTAGCTGGGATTACAGGCAGGCACCACCATGCCTACCCACCTAATTTTGTATTTTCAGTAGAAACTGGGTTTCTCCACGTTGGTCAGGCTTGTCTCGAACTCCCAACCTCAGGTGATCCACCTGCCTCAGCCTCCCAAAGTGCTGGTATTACAGGCATGAGCCACTGCACCTGGCCTGGGCTCAAACTTTCTTTTCCTAGGAGTCACATCTTTGAGTAGTACTGCTACATGGCAATCACTACTCAAAATAAACTAACTTGAGGTGTCCAATAATCAGCCTTCATTTAAAGTCTCTTTCAGCTAGACAAAATAAAAACTTTCAATGTTTTGTCTACCTACAACCAAAATTAGTCTACATATGTGTATATATATGTGATTGTATATGTATATATACATGTGATTTTGATCAGCCTGTTTATAAACTATTTCCAAAATAAGCTGACCTGTAAATTCATTTAGTAAATGAGTAGCTTATAAACTACTCGATTTTTGCAAGTAGTTTATAAACAGGCTGATCAAACTGAACAAATTTCTTTAAAAAATTTCACTGTATAGATAGCAAGTAAGTTATTTATTCTTATTAGCATATCTTATTTTTACCTATCCTTTAACAAGCATCTAAGTTCAACTATTTTATGTCCACAACTACACACTGAAACAACACTTTCAGTCACAACATATTAAATTCACATTTAAAACTAAAAAGAGATCCAGTTACCTTTAGTCTTACATGTACATATATATATTTTTTAATATACTTCTTGATGTTTTATGATGCACAAACATGCAGCTCTTGCAGGATATATAACTATGAGAATATTTAGACTGTATGCTTATTAAATGGTTCAAACTCTCTTTTTTAAAGAAAGTCTATTTTAAGAACTTAAGCATACAATAAAGTACTCCTTCCATGCCCCAGTGTTAAAAGATCCATTTATTTTAGACTGTTTCATAAAAAATCTAAAAGTGATCATAATTCTGCTTAAATTCCATATTCACCTAGGATCAAAAGGTATTCTTAGTTCTTGTTTCTTAAATACTTGGAAATGTGCTGCTGCATCATGTTTTCCTTATATATTCATTCATTCAACTAACTTCAGGTGGAAGGTACTTACGAATTTAAGCCCTTTCCCAAAGTGGAAATAACATGAAAATTTTGCATAAAAGACACTCAATGTTTCTCAAAGGGTATCAGCCTATTAACTTGGTTCAGAGTAACCACCAACAACAAATGTGAGCTTTTTGTCACATCTATGTATTTTCCCCTGTAAACTAATACCTACATTTTAAATGCCTTTTCAAAATGTTTCATTTGGCCATGTGATAATTATTTCCCCCTGTAAAAAGCTCCAGGATTTTAGTTTAAGAGCAAATGAGATAGATTATCTGGTCCATGAGAAGGCTAAGTGGAAAGATCAGCGCCCTGAAATTTGTAACCGATAACAGGACAAACTCCAATGCTACCTTGTTCATGTAATTAACAATATGTGAGTAGAAATAAACAAAGTAACTTGCCTAGGAAAATTTAATGCGTTAAAATGTAACAGACAAACCGATTACATTAAAAAAAAACTAAAATGATCAGTAACACAAACAAATCGCTCAAGTTTAGCAAAGCGTGTGTTTTTAATCTGTTGGTGGTATCCTATTATACTAATAAGCAACAACGTTTAAGTCATCCCAATGCCTAAAACACCACGATACACATAACATACTTGTCCTTTACTCCGAAGAAGCTTAAACTCAGACCCAAACTCACACCATGTCCACCTCCTGGCACACTGAAATATACGAGGGGAAATCAAAGAAATCAGATATGTTAAGTGCCGGTATCTTCTTCCAGAGTAGGGTCAAACACGTTTTTGCGCTTAAATGTCACGGTCCCAGGAAGTCTGCAAATTCTTACTAGAGCTGGAGTACAAACAGTCCTGACCACAGAAACACCCGTCCTAGCACCAGGAAGACCCTGAGTCGGCGCCGGCCCTAAAGCCTCGGCTACAGCAATGGGGGGCAAGGGGTGGCCGCTGGCCTCGCGGGTACGGCGGACAGGGTCCCGCACTCCCGGCCCGCCTCCCGGGAGCCAAGAAACCTGTCAGGCCCGCTGGGATCCACCCTCCTCAGACCCTCGCACTCCAGCCCAGCGCGGCCCTACCGCACCCCGACCGCCCCGGCCTCCGGACTGCATTCTGTCACCTCATCCCTCCCTGGAGACCTCGAGGCCACACCACCATCGCCGTGCAGCCTGGGCTTGGGCTGCCCCTGGTGCAGGAGCGACCAGCTGCCGCCTCCCGCCCGGCCCCAGCCAGCCTCCCCGCGGCCGGGTCTGCGCCCACCCCAGGCCCAAGCTCCCGCCTCGCGCTCCCCATCCCCAGCCTCCGCCCTCGCCCCGCGCGGCCGCTCCCAGCCCACTCCCCAGCCAGCTACCTGGAGGCAAGGACGGCAGAGTACTTCGCCCAGGGACCCGGGTTGAAGAGGGCCCGGTGCTCGGGGGCCCGCTCCTTCTCCTGCTCCGTCACCGCCGCCGCCGACCCCACCACCACCGCAGCACCCCAATGGCTCCGTCGCTTGCTCCAGGCTCGAGCCCCATAGGCCCGCCGTCCAACTGCAGAGAAATGAGGCACGAGGAGCGGGGAAGGCGCGCGCAAGCGCGAAAGGAGGGGACATAGCGCGCAACCGCCAGGGAGGCTGGATTGGCCGGTGGAGACTGAGGCAGCACGTTTTAGCGCGCGTGAGGGGCGGGGCCTGGAAATGGTGTAAAAAGAAACTTTTTCTTTCAAAAACTCAGGCAGAACAACTAAGCGAAAATATGTTTAAAATACAGTGGCTCATGCCTCTAATCCCAGCACTTTGGGAGGCCAAGGCAGGTGGATGACTTGTGGCCAGGAGGTCGAGACCAGCCCGACCAACATGGTGAAACCCTGTCTCTACTAATTAACTAGGTGTGGTGGCACGTGCCTGTAATCCCAGCTGCAGGTCTGCACCACCATGCTTGACTAATTTTCTTAAATTTCGTACAGATGGTGTCTTGCTATATTGCCCAGGCTGGTGGTCTCAAACTCCTGGCCTTGGGTAGTGTTGGAAATAGATGTTAGAAATAGATGCTCGGTATCGCAAAGAAAAATTAGCACTGAGACAAAGGCTCTTTCAGCGACACAATTTTTTACTTCCTGGACTGCAGGAAAGGTACTCCCGATAGCCATTGTGTCACGACCGAGCAATGAACAAAGGAGTAACCAGGTGAGCTGATCCTAGTTCTGTTCCATAACACAGGAAGCAGATGCCAAGGTGGAATTTGATGTGCAAGAGATTGACATGAAAAAAAAGAAAAGCCTGTGAAGAATAAAGCAAAGCAGGAGCAAGAATAAGTATGGATGGGCCAAGTGAGGTGGCTCACGCCTGTAATCCCAGCACTTTGGGAGGCCAAGGCAGGCAGATCACCTGCGGTCCAGACTTTGAGACCAGCCTGGACAACATGTACTAAAAATACAAAAATTAGCCTGGCATGGTAATGGGTGCCTGTAATCCCAGCTACCTGGGAGGCTGAGGCAGGAGAATTGCTTGAACCCAGGAGGGGTTTTTGCCATATCGTCAGGCTGGTCTCAAACTCCCAACCTCAATTGATTCACCTGCCTTGGCCTCCCAAAATGTTGGGATTACAGGTGTGAACCACTCCACCTGGCCAGTTGAATTTTTTAATAAATAAAACTGAAAAAATGTTTGATCTATTTAGCAGGTACAGGTGCAGGTTTTCTTATTGTGGAGCGCTGAGGTCTGGGCTTTGAGTGTAGCCATGACCAAATAGTGAACATTGTACTCAACAGGAGAATATTCGCCCCTCACCCTCCTACCGTCTTCTGGAGTATTTAGTGTGTATTTTGCCTCCTGTGTACATATTGTTTAACTCCCACACACGAGAACAATCAGCATTTGACTTTGTTTCTGAGTTATTTCACTGAGGATATGTCCTCCAGTTCGATCCACACGGCTGGAAAAGGCATGATTTCATTCCTTTTGTGGTTGAGGCACAGTCCACGTGTATATGGTGTATATGTACCATATTGTCTTTATCCAGCCATCTGTTGGTGGACACTTAGGATGTTTCCATATCTTTGATATTATGAATGGCACTGTGAGAAACATATGAGTACAGGTATTTTTTGATATATTGATGTATTTCCCTTTGGGTAGATACCCAGTAGTGAGATTGCTGGTTGAATGGCAGTTCTATTTTTAGTTCTCTGAGAAGTCACTGTACTGTTTTCCATAATAATCGTACTAATTTACATTCCCACCAACACTGTATAAGCATTCCCTTTTCTCTGCATCCTTGCCAATATCTGTTGTTTTCTGGCTTTTAAATTTTATAGAGATGGGGGAGTCTCATTATGTTGCCCAGGCTGGTCTCAAAGCCCTCACCTAAGTGATCCACCCACCTCGGCATCCCAAAGTACAGGGTTACAGGCACGAACCACCACATCTGGCTGTTTTCTGACTTTTTATTAATAGCATGTGCTGACTCTACTAAAAATACAAAAATTAGCCAGGAGTCGTGACGGCCATCTGTAATCGCAGCGACTCGGGAGACTGAGGCAGAAGAATTGCTTGAACCTAGGAGGCGGAGGTTGCAGTTAGCTGAGATTGCACCACTGCACTCCAGCCTGGGAGACAGAGCGAGAAAAACGAAATAGAAGAAATATATTTCACAAAAGTGCATTTAATGCAGGCAAATTTTGAGCATCAGAGAAATTGATCTGGAGTCCAGAGACACAGTGTCGCACTGGTTACAAGAGTGGTTCAGAACCCCAGCTTTACCGCGTTAATAGCTACCCATGCTTAGCAAGGTACTTAACTCCCCTTTGCCTCAGTATCTTCTCCATGAAATGGGGATGGCAGTAGTACAGTGGTCCATGCCTCAGAGGGTTTAACGAGGATCAAGTGGTGGGCACATAGTTAGTGCTCAATAAATGCTCTAGCTATTATCTTTATTATTGTCTCTATGAGTGAAAGAAAAATCCAACACTGGATCAGATTAAATTCTTCCAGAAGCCATGGCTTAAAATAAACTGCCATTCAAAACCTAAAATTATCATATTGGGTTAAAGCTATCCAAAATTTAACTGATCTATATTCCAGTAATTCCACAAAACAGATAAATGTGTGTTGTTACTTAGAAGAACATTTAACAACTGCATTTCAATGTAGATTCTTGGCCAGGTGCGGTGGCTCACACCTCTAATACCAGAACTTTGGGAGGCTGAGGCGGGTGGATCACCTGAGGTCAGGAGTTCAAGACCAGTCTGGCCAACATGGTGAAACCCGTCTCTACTAAAAATATAAAAATTAGCTGGGCATGGTGACAGGCACTCTGTAATCCCAGCTACTCAGGAGGCTGAGGCCAGAGAATTGCTTGAACCCAAGAAGCGGAGGTTACAGTGAGCCGAGATCGTACCACTGCACTCCAGCCTGGGCAACAGAGTGAGACTCCATCTCAAAAAAAGCAGAAAAAACATTAAAAAATTAAAAAATAATAAATAAATAAATGTAGATTATTGGGTTTTGTTTCGTATATGACTCCCACCAGCAGAGAGACCTAAGAATGTGCTTTTTTTTTTTTTTTTTTTTTTTTTTTTGAGACAAAGTCTTGCTCTGTCACCAGGCTATAGTGCAGTGGTGTGATCTTGGCTCACTGCAATCTCTGCCACCTGGGATCAAGCAAGTCTCCTACCTTAGCCTCCTGAGTAGCTGGGACTACAGGCGTGTGCCACAACACCCAGCTAATTTTTTTTTGTATTTTAGTAAAGACGGTTTCACCATGTTGGCCAGGATAGTCTCAATCTCCTGACCTTGTGATCCACCTGCCTCAGCCTCCCAAAGTGCTGGCATTACAGGCGTGAGCCACCAAGCCCAGCCAAACCCCCTCTAGTGACCTTTACGATCAGGCAAACTCAGGTAATCACAACTGAATTGTAACCCCTTCAATTACATTGATTCAAGGGTTGGTGAGTGCATATTTTCCAGGTTTAAATGATATTGAACATACAGCAGCTGTTCTCAATTTTTTTTTTTTTTTTTTTGAAGTAGAGTCTTGCTCTGTGCCCAGGCTGGAGTGCAATGGTGCAATCTCGGCTCACTGCCACCTTCACCTCCCGCATCCTGGTTCAAGCAATTCTCCTACCTTAGCCTCCCACGTAGCTGGGATTATAGGCACAAGCCACCATGCCCGGCTAATTTTTGTTTTTTGTTTTGTTTTAGTAGAAATGGGGTTTCACCATGTTGGCCAGTCTGGTCTTGAACTCCTGACCTCATGACTTGCCTGCCTTGGCCTCCCAAAGTGCTGAGATTACAGATGTGAGCCATCGCGCCTGGCCTGTTCTCAAATTTTAATATGCTTAAGAATCACCAGGAAAGTTGTTAAAAATTAGATAACCAGATATTTAAACATCTATGGATTTAGATTCAGAGTGCTGAGAAACACTCAAAAATCTGCAATTTAAACCAGTTTCTTCATCCATTCTTTCATCCTGGCCAACATGGTGAAACCCTGTCTCTACTAAAAACACAAAAATTAGCCATGAATGGTGGCATGTGCCTGTAATCCCAGCTACTCAGGAGGCTGAGGCAGGAGAATCTCTTGAATCTGGGAGGTGGAGGTTGCAGTGAGCCGAGATTATGCCACTGCACTCCAGTCTGGGAACCAAAGAGTGAAACTCTATCTCAAAATAAATAAATAAATAAAGAGAGAAAGAAAGAAAAGAAAATCTACAAGCATGTTGGTGACCTCGGACTTAGCATCCAGTGGCAGCTCACTGGACTCCTCCATGGGAGGTGTCTAGAGCTGGTGCCGTGGGCTCCAGCAGACGCTCCTCCTCCCCCAATTATCAGTTACTATGAGTTTCCTTATTCTCTTTTGTCAAAATTCCCTTGATTATCCATGGACTTATGTAGGGTCCAGCCCTACAGGGTCCTATAAGCCCCTCTCTGCTTGTGCGTAGACAAGAAACTGTAGAAATAAAGACACAAGACACTGAGATCAAGAGAGAGTTTGGGCCTAGGGGTCCACTGCCAACCAAATCTCGGAGTCCAGCAGTGGCCCCAAGTGCCTGGTCACTCTGACTTTTATTGCGTACAAAGCAGGGGGCAGGTAGGGCAGGTCATTGGTGGTCTGTGGGTAACACCCCACATGGGCACCGAGGAAGGAGAACTGTACAGACCCCCGGCACAATTAGTGCCTGAAGTATAACTCACTGCTTATTTATATCTAGCTTATATATAATCATACTTAGTCCCATATAATCTTTCTATATAATCATATAATATCTTACTGCTTACTATATCTAGCTTATATATACAATCATACTTAGTTCCATGTAATCTTTCTATATAATCATATAATGGATGTAGTCGGAGCTGTACTGACACATTCAGTGCTGATTTATATAATCCTTCTACATAACCATATAGTGGTTTGTAGTGGGAGGAATGCCTAGAGCAGTCACAGAACAGAAGCAGTACATGGGAAAACAGCCAGACCAGGACAAGAACTGGAGACCCAGGCGGTGGCGTCCCTGCCTCAAAGGGCATACACTGTATGGCAGGCTTGGAGCAAGAGCCTCTCCTCCTGATAAAGGAGTTGTAGTACCTTGCATCCAGTTCCTGTGGAAAGTAGGCCTCAGGCCTGAGATACCTCAAATAACTGAGGGAGAAGAACCCCTCTGGTGTGACCAGTCACTGTGGCTGTACACCCTGGCAGTCTTTTCTCGCTTCTGTTTTAGCTCAAATCATCCTCCCATAAATATCTTAGAGAAGAGCACAAGTCTGTCAGCTCCCACTGCATTTGCTAACAGTATCCTTCTATTAGAAATCCTTTGAAGTCTCCCGCCCCCAGATAAGAAGTGTTGTGCATGACACCTGTTGCACACAGCACACCTGCTTGCCTTGGTGACCTAATGGGGGTGGACCCCTTTTCTGTACATGACCCTCTACTACTGCACACGGCACAGCCCCCTACTGCGCATGGCCCACCTCTTTGCCCAGGTGACCTAATGGGGTGGCTCCCCTCGCCTGCTACTCACATGATTATGTACGCCCTATCATTAAGCCTATAGATGACCTCACGCATGACTCTGCCCCCCTGCCTTGTACCCAGTAAATACAGATTCTTCTGGACATTCGGGGCCTCACCAGTCTTCACTCATAGGTGGCGTGGCCCCTTGAGTCCAGCTGCTCTTCTCCAGTTCTTCAGCGTCCAGTCTCTTTACTTCTCAGATCCTGCACCTCAGCACAGCATAAGGGACATCCCACGACCCAGTGGGGCCAATAGCCCTACAGTGGTCAGTGATAGGGTCAGGTAAATCTCATGTCTCAGAGACAGGGGCCCAGGACTTTCAAGTAGCTGAGGCGAGGACAGGAGCATATTGTGTCGGCACTTTTTTCATACTTGTCAAGAAAGAACAAAGACATTAAGATTTATGTTACTGTTACTGATTATATCTTCTAAGAAAAAAAGGAACCAGGTGCAGAAGCGGAACACGAAGGTGGACATGGAACGTGACCACTGAAGTACAACATCACATAGAGACAATTAAGTCCCTGGATGTCTGCGGGCTTCCCTGACAGCTGTCAGGCCTACCACAAGAGCTTGAGAGAGCGGAATTTTCTCCTAACTCCAACGTCTCCTTCCACAGCTTGCTAAAGAGCAGGCACTTTTCCAGCACTGCTGCATAGCCAAAGTGCCCTCCAGCAGCCCTTATGGGGGTGTGACAGAGGGCATAGAGCATCTTGCCTTAGGGTCACTTCTTTCACAATGTCACCTTAAGTTCACACTTCAAAACCCAAGAAATATTAGCAAAATTAAAAGGTTATACTGAGTATATATATTTAGGTATCTATATCTATGATTACTTATGTGATTATATTTCTAATTCTTTTCTATTTCATTATTTATACAAGAACAGGCTGAGGCTTCAGAGCCTTGCCTCGGTACTTGTAGGGTCTCCCACCCACAGACTTATGCATTCATGGAAATTTTATAATCAGTTGTCAAGTTATATGAGGCATTCTGTTGATATATTGATATTGCATGGGTTTTGCAGAAGAACGTGGAGGAAATTGACATCTTTATAATACTAAATCACCTCATTTAAAAATAAGGTAAATCTCTTCACTTAATTAGTTCTCATCTTGCCCTTCAGTAATTTTAAGTATTTCTCCATAGAAAGATTATGTGCATTTATTCAGTGGCTTGTTCTTAGGCATATTATGATTTTGTTCTATCATGAATGATATGTTACTTCCTCATATTTTCTAGGTGATTACTGCTGATGTGGTGGAAACTTTTTATTTTTAATGTTGGTTTTGTAGCCAACAATCTTGTTGAACTATTTTGTTAGTTCTAATAGTTTATTAATTCTGCTTTATTTTCCATGTAGCTAATCAAAACAATTGTGCCTCTTTGAGAAACTATATAGCATCAAGGTTAAGAAGGTGAAATCTAGAAGCCATAAAAACTAGTTTCAAAACTGGAGTTAACTGCTCTACTGCCTTTCCAGATTACAAATGTAATACCCAGTTTTCTTCCCTCACACTCTATTCCTCTACTGAATACTTCTATAACATCCCTTATCTTCCCATCATCACCACCCATCTGTACTACAAAGGAAGAAATCCTTTGCCCTATTGCCTTCTGCTGCCATAAAATCATGTTTTATAAGTACCAGAGTCTTTTTTTTTTCAGACAGAGTCTTGCTTTGTTACCCAGGCTGGAGTGCAATGGCACCATCTTGGCTCACTGCAACCTCCGCCTCCTGGGTTCAGTCGATTCTCATGTCTCAGCCTCCTGTACTTTTAGTAGAGATGGGGTTTCACCATGTTGCTCAGGCTGGTCTTGAGCTCCTAATCTCATGTGATCCACCCAGCTCAGCCTCCCAAAGTGCTGTGATTACAGGTGTGAGCCTCAACGCCTGGCCTCAGAGTCTACAGAAGGGGGATGTGGTGGAAGATACTGAGCAATGGGATAGTAGAGATGGGACCAGAGTTAACTTTTATAAGGAATTATTCAACTTGGAAAGGGGAAGGAACCTTGACTTCATGATGGTAAAAAAAATTCCACCACCTTTGCCCAGAAAGAGGTGATTCACACGCTGATATCACTGTGTTCTCAGGAAAAGAGCTCCCCACAAGACATTGCATTAGGGAGAAGCCACGGTGAGGAACAGTGATGAGCAGGGCATGAAGAGTGATCGTCCGAAGCCAGGTATGATGTCATGAGAGTGAACTCCAGGACCTCCTGTCCTTCAGGACGATCCCACAGTCTCACTGACCGCTCAGGCCAGATTCATGAAAGCTTTGTCTTTCCAGAGACTGATCAGGGCAAAAGGTACTGACAGCCCCTTCAGCTCCCGGCAGGGAGGGGCAAGGACTACCCACATTGAAAGTGGCCCCTTCAGGGATGACCGGAGGATCCTTGTGTCCTGGGGTACCCCAGGTCTCATCTGACCTTGCATAGTGAAAGCTACTCATGGGAGAACTCTCTTATCAGGGAAGCCCTTAGAGTGGGAGGGCTTTCCTAACATCGACTCCCATTTCTGGGAGTATATGCCATTCTTCTCCACTCTCTGCTGCACTGTGGTCTTAGCCTCTGTAGAGAATGTTTGTTGGTTCTCTTTAGCATTACAACACCCCATTCTCTAGCATTACAACATCCCATTCTCTAGCATTACAACATCCCATTCTCTTCTTAGGGATACCCTGAATTTGAGTAGCATTAGAGTTTGAGTAGGATTAATCTTAACCTGGACCTCAGGAGGAGTAGGCACTAATAATTTAAACGAAGCCGTATGTCCCATCCCTATTATATGATAATGAGTTCTGCAAGAAGTACACGCTTTGTTTTTTTTTTTTTTTTTGGCTTAATTCTTTTTCTTTTTTTTTAAACGGAGTCTCACTCTGTCACCCAGGCTGGAGTGCAATGGCACGACCTCGGCTTACTACAACCTCCACCTCCTGGGTTCAAGCGATTCTCTTGCCTCAGTCTCCAGAGTAGCTGGGACTACAGGCGTGTGCCACCACACCAGGCTAATTTTTTGTATTTTAGTAGAGATGGGGTTTCACCATGTTGGCCAGGATGGTCTCAACCTCCTGACCTTCTTATTCGCCCGCATCAGCCTCCCAAAGTGCTGGGATTACAGGCGTGAGCCACCACGCCAGGCCCAGAGACTTCTGCTTACATCTACCTAGGATTGTAAGGCAATATTTTCCCTTTACTATTTAAGCCAATTTTCTGATAAAGTGCCTTAACCTGATAAACTATTATCTGCCTAGCATTCAGTCCACTGGACGTTTCTTTAAAACACAAATGGAACAGTTCATGAATTTGTGCCTCGTTCTTGCACAGGGGCCATGTTAATCTTCTCTGTATCATTCCAATGTTAGTATACACGCTGCCAACGCGAGCACCATTGGATATCTCTGCCGTATTTCTACATTGGGCACAGGCTCAACCTGTAACCAGGTGCTTCTCTTGGGCTCTCTCACTACCACCCCAACTCCTTAACCCTGCTCCTTTGCTTATTCATCCCACAACCCACTTTCTCCTCTAGGTTCTTGTCGGATTAGAGCTCCTGACACAGTCAGCCAACATCGTTCCATGCTAGCCCCTGGACATTTGTATCATACAACAGCATTAAGTCTTCACTGCTGCCTTGAAAATTTTCTCACCCTTCTCTCTTTTTTTAATTATTTTATTTAAAAAATTTTTATAATAAAAAAAAATGGAACACTTCACGAATTTGCGTGTCATCCTCACGCAGGGGCCATGCTAATCTTCTCCGTATCGTTTCAATTTTAGTATATGTGCTGCCGAAGCGAACACGACCCTTCTCTTCTTAATTTTCTAACGCCTTTGTCATTTGGCATCCCTAAACCATCTCCTCTTCCTACCTCCTCAGATAATTTCAGCCGAAACAGTGGAAAAGATGAGGTATTCGACCTCAGCTGTCACTCTACCCAAGGTATCTTGCGGTTCTACCTGGAGAGGCATCTTGAGTCCCTCCAGGAATATTCTCCACTCCCTCTTTTCTCTTCCTCTGCTTCCTTGGACAACATTATGGTGTAGCTCCGCTAAGCGAGATACAGCCTGAGAACAGCGGGGTGGCAGACTCTTTCCTGACTTTAAGTAGCGCTTCCATCCTACCCAAGTCCTATTTAACTAGTTTCAGTCTCTTCATCTTCAAGACAGGTTTAATACTTTGCTCATGGCACTGCTGTAAATCTAGTTAAACACGAGAAGGTGAAAATGCTTCTAAATTCAGTGCTGGGCAAACCTAAGGCGTATTTTGTTTCGAATATGAGCTGGTTTTCCTTGACATGGCCAAGTCCGTCCCCTAGATCTCTTCTAATCCGTTTTTCTCCAGTCCATATGTTGGGCTCAGTTCTCGGTGGCCGCGGCGACCTGGCCCCAGGGCGTCCGCGCTCCCCTCCAAGCGCTCCTTAAGGACCCGACAGGATCACGAAAACTCCAAGACCAGAATTCGAGGACGCCTGGAGCCCTGCCCCAGTGTCTCGGGGCTCTGGCTGCAGCCCTGACTGCGCCGGAAGTTTCTTGAGGAGGCACCATCAAGTTCACCCCTGCACTCTCGGTCACGACCCCATGTGAGCAGCCCGGGTCTGACTTGCCTTGCTGGCTACTTGCGGACGCGCCCCGAGCCCAAGCTGTGGGTGGCTCGCCCGGGTACTTTTCTTGTGGGTCAGGGACAGTGGTGAGCCTCTACCTTTCAAGAGTCGTTTGCGAGGAATCCACTGCCAGCTAGTTTCCGTAGTGTAGTGGTTATCACGTTCGCCTCACACGCGAAAGGTCCCCGGTTCGAAACCGGGCGGAAACAAGATTATAATTTTTGCTTTTCTTTTTCCTTCTCTATATCCACTCGAATTTTACATAACAATCCGCCAAGACCGCGGTGAGATCGCGGAACTCCAGGTCCAAGGAGAGCTGAAAGGACTCAAACGCAGACGCCAGCGGCAGAGCGGCTCTCGACAACGGGTGCAAGCGAGCGGGCGGGCGCCCCTGTCGGCTGTGGGTGACTGGATCCCTCGGAGCAGTGTAAATCGGCCCTGACTTGTGATGTTAATTTCCAGGTGTATATACATGCCAAAACTTGTACATTTTAAATATGTTCTAATTATTGTTGTCAGGTAAGCTTTAACATAGCTATTATAATATTTTAGTATTTCCCAGGAAAAAAAAAAAAAAGCCCATATATTTGAAGGCTGTTTGGAATATTCATATAAAACACAGGTCGATCATCCCAAATCTGAAAATCTGAAATCCAAAATATTCCAAAATCCTAAACTTCTTGGGTGCTGACAGGATGATCAAAGGAATGCTCATTGCAGCATTTTGGATTTCAGATTTTCAGATTTGAGATACTCAACTAGGGGTAGGTATAATGCAAACATTCAAAAATCTGAAAAAATTCAAAATTTAAAATAATTCTGGTGCCAAGTATTTCAGATAAAAGATACTCAAATTGTACTTTTTTTTCCTTTTCTTTTCTTTCCTTTTTTTTTTTTTTTTTTTGAGACAGTGTTTTGCTCTTGTCATCCAGGCTGGAGTGCAATGGCGTAATCTCAGCTCACTGCAACCTCTGCCTCCCAGGTTCAAGCGATTCTCCTGCTTCAGCCTCCTGAGTAGCTGGGATTATAGGTGCCCACCACTACAGCTGCTAATGTTTGTATTTTTAGTAGAGACAGAGTTTTGCCTTGTTGGCCAGGCTGGTCTCGAACTCCTGACCTCAGCTGATCCACCCACCTCAGCCTCCCAAAGTACTGGGATTACAGGCGTGAGTAATGGCGCACAGCCAATCTGTACATCTGTACATATTTTTAAATATGTTTAAGGCTTTTTTTTTTTTACAGGGTCTTACTCTGTTACCCAGACTGGAGGCTAGAGTGCCTAAATAATTTCTTCCTATCTCCTGTAACAGGGCTACAGGTATGTGCCACCAGGCCCTGTGATTTTTTTTTTCTTTTTTTTTTTTTTTTAGATAGAGTCTTGCTCTAAAGGCCAGGCTGGAGTGCAATGGCATGATCTCGGCTCACTGCAACCTCTGCCTCTTGGGTTCAAGTGTTTCTCCTGCCTCAGCCTCCTGAGTAGCTGGGATTACAGGTGTGCACCACCTCGACCAGCTAATTTTGTATTTTTGGGAGAGACGGGCTTTTACCATGTTGGCCAGGCTGGTCTTGGGAGAATGAAACCAGAGGATGGCTTGAGCCCAGGAGTTTGAAGCTGCTGTGACCTATGATTGCAGCACTGCATTCCATCCATGGGTGACAGAGTAAAACTCCATATCTAAAAATAAACACAAAAAAACAAAGTCTAATCCTTACAAGGATACAAGAGGGAAATCCAGGGACAGAGAGACAGGCCTTGTTTATGAGAAGAAACAAGACCATGGCTTCCCATAGAATTTCTCAGGTAATTTGTAACCAGACCCCTTGAGATATCACCACACCAGCATTTCTAGTGACTGAAATGATGAAAATTCTGGTCAGGCCCTTGCTTGCTTGCACCTGTGTTTTGCCCAATATTCCTTCTACAATGTAATTATAAACTGCTAATGTACTGCTTTCTTTGTCAAGCAGAAGAATATAATTTAAAGTCCTGAAAAAAAAAAATTGCAGAAGGACCAGGCATGGTGGCTCAAGCCTGTAATCCCAGCACTTTGGGAGGTGGAGGTAGGCGGATCACTTCAGGTCAGGAGTTCAAGACCACCTTGGCCAACACAGTGAGTGAAACCTCATCTCTAGAAACAAACAAACAAAAACCCCAAAACGAAAATTAACTAGGCATGGTGGTATATGCCTGTAATCCCAGCTATTCAGGAGGCTGAGGTGGGAGAACTGCTTGAACCCAGGAGGCGGAGATTGCAGTGAGCCAAGATTGTGTCATGCGATCCAGCCTGGGTGACAGTGAGACCCTGTCTCTTAAAAAAAAAAAAAAAATGCAGAAGATACTAGTGAATGCCTTTAAGGATGTTGCACCCAGCTGCTGACACCCAGAAGCTGGTTGTTCAAGGTGTTATCTGAGACTAAAGCAGCACAGACTTTTCCCCTCAAGTCTCTGAAACTCCCCCTCCTTTATTCACCAGCTGCATAAAATCTCCCCACTTCAGGCCAGGCAGGGTTGCTCAAGCCTGTAATCCCAGCACTTTGGGAGGTGGAGGCAGGCGGATCACCTGAAGTCAAGAGTTCAAGACCAGCCTGGCCAACATGGTGAAACTCTGTCTCTGCTAAATAAAAATTAGCCAGGCTTGGTAGTGCACGCTGTAATCCCAGCTACTAGGGAGGCTGAGGCGGGAGAATTGCTTGAAACTGCAGCCTCGAATTCCCAGGCTCAAGGAATTCTCTCACCTCAGCCTCCCAAGTAGCTGTGACCACAGGTGCCCACCACCACACCCAGTTAATTTCATTTAATTTTGTAGAGACAAGTTTCATTATATGCCCAGGCTAGAAACGCATCTTTTAATTCCCATAGGTGAGCCCTCTGTCAAAATAGTAGTAAAAAGCTGGAAGTATGGCTAGGCGCAGTGGCTCATGCCTGTAATCCCAGCACTCTGGAGGACAAGGCGGACAGATCATGAAGTCAATAGATGGAGACTAGATGGGTGCGGTGGCTCACGCCTGTAATCCCAGCACTTTGGGAGGCCAAGGCAGGTGGATCACCTGAGGTCGGGAGAACCGCTTGATCCCGGGAGACGGAGGTTGCAGTGAGCCGAGATCGCGCCACTGCACTCCAGCCTGGCGACAGAGCAAGACTTCGTCTCAAAAAGGAAAAACGAAAAAAGGAAGAAAAAAGCTGGAAGTACTCTAAAGCCCAGCCATAAAAAGAGTTTTAAATCACTTATTTTGCATGTCATCCTGCTCTTGGACAGGTTCGAGACTTACTGCTAACTGAAAAGACTCGGGTGAAGAGTAGTGTATATAGTGTGTGGTATTTGAGTAAGGGGAAAATGGAGGAAAGATATTTATGCACATATAAATATATACATGTATAGATCTAGTTGGCCTCCCACAGTTGGCCTCCCACGTCAGCAGGTTCCCAAAACAATGGGAAAAATAACAAAAGATAATGCAAATACAGACAACACAGCATAACTACATTGTATTAGGTATTACAAGTAATCCATAGCTGATTTAAATTGTGCGGGAGGATGTGCGCAGTTATATGTAAATACTATGCCATTTTATAGGAGGGACTTGAGCGACCGCAGATTTTAGTGTGGGGTGCTAACCTGGAAAAGTACCGAGGGACGACTGAAGATCATCTAGGAAGGGCACGCAAGAAACTGTTAACAGTTGCTTCGAGGAAAGAGAATGGGGGAAATCAGGGTAGGGGTGGAAAAGACTTCCCGCCGCGAATCACGCCGAGGTGCCCTGCATCAAGCCCTGCGCTCCTCCCC